CCTAATAGAAGATCTTAATTTACCTTCAGAACATCTGGGTGAGGTTGTTAATATAATATTCAATTACTACCATAGAAGCAATGTAATTTGCTGTGGAAGTATTTTTAAATTTGGAAAATCCCAAATGCCTCAGGATATATTAGAAGTTGAATGTATGTTGTACTAGGAAGGGGATAATGGGTATATATGAGGGTCATAATCTTTCATTAAACAACTGTTAGTCCTTCAGTCATTTCTGCCTAACACATGCACTCAGAGCCAACTCTTTTTAGTATATTTTGACAAGAGCAGCTTCTGCTCATGAGTTATCCATGGAAATTTGCTCTCCAGACAACCATGCCCCTGTTGGACCCTCTCACTCTTTGATCCCATTCTCTCTGCTCTCCTGATCCCCAGGGGAACTGTGCAATCACTGTTTCCTTAGTTGTGGTGCTCCTGGCTCCTGGACTGCCCTAAATGGATAAGTGATGTAGGTCACACCACGCCCCTCTTTTCCTGACTAGCCTTTCATAAATTCCTCATATTATAATTGGAATCTCATGGGCCTAATAGATTGAATAAAAGGTAAGGGTAACTGAAAAGAAAATGACGTAGAAGAGTCAGTTAAAAGCTGAATGTTAAATACAACTGCTCTCAAAATGTAAGGAAAAGATTCAACCTCCAGATGAAACCCTCGATGGGCCATTCCACATGGATATTCCTTACTTCCCATTCTTGCTCTTGGTTATGAGATTTGCCCTCGCTTGTTCTTCCTGAGAAAGCCTCTGTCATCAATCTTGATGGTGCTCATTTCTACTCCCCTTCATGAAAGCTCCAGCCTCTATGACCAGGTTTTGTTCTGTGACCTCCTCATGCTTACTTGATAGGCCTGCTCTAGACCTAATCAGAAAGTTTCTCAAGCTGACATTGATAGGTAGAGAATGGAACCAGAGTCCGACAGGGACTTTGATCTTCAGAATGCGTTCTTCTCCTTGGACCCTGTCAGCTGGAGGTACAGCTTTGTCTCCTGCTCTTCCTCATGTTCAGTGAATGACTTCCTACCATATCCACACAAAGCATGTTACATGCATGTGGACATGCGAGTTGTCATCTCCCACGCAACTTAATAGTCTCAGGAAGAATCCAGTCTGTGGTCATATGAAGGGAGAAGAATTTCTAATCATAATATTGCCTTCACTAATTTCCTTCCCTCAAGGATACAAGTACAGTCACCTGTCCTTGATGATGAGAAATGTATTTGGACCATTCTAAATACTGCAGCCTACTACAGAATAAAACAACATACAATTAAGTCAAGTACAAGAAAAGATAATGCAACAACAAGCTAAGCATGAGATGTCTAAGAGTTGCTGCTGGAGTTATAGGGCAGAATGTTTTACAGTAAAATTTTTTATTAGTAGAAATGCACTCTAGAGTATGATAAAAGGTCGAGCACAGTAATTATATAAGACACTAACATAGCTGTTTATTATCATGATTATTATACACTGTACATTTTGTATGTATTAGACTTATATGTGGCTGGTGGTGCATCAGGTGTGTTTATGTCAGCATGAGCACAAGTACATGAGAGGAATGCCTTGTGCTAGTATGATGTCACAACAGCTATAGCATCACTAAGTGATACCAGAGCACTATCAGATTAGCAGCCTATCCTTAACTAAAACATTATTATAAGGTGCATGGAGTACTCTTCTGAGCATGTCTAGAGTTTGCAGTACTGGGCAGGACAACACTGGTTTCCGTAGATGACTCTTAATTTTGTGTTTCTCAATATAAGTCCTGAATCTCTCAGTGCTTGAAAAATATGGCCAGTGAAGGGCCAGTAACTCATTGACATCCATTTCTTTTTAATCTATATCAAAACACAGATGTGACATTATAGCTTTTCAACACGTGATACTCAGGAACATTCTTAGGTAGGACATCTTTCTCACAGTTCTGCACACACTATGGGCTAAAATTTTGAGAAAGAAGTTTATCTTCCAAGCCCATTGTAAGACTAGCATTAATTTTAAAACAATTATTGCCCTACTTATCTCATGTGGACAAAAACCAGTATGTGTGCTTCTTCATCATTTTCCATTATTTGATGGTAGGTAGCTCATAAAAGTTCTATAAATGCACTTGAGTTTAAGGGGAGCATTAACTTTTCTACATTTCTAACTACTGTAAAAGAACATCCTGCCATTAACCCATTTCAACAATGAAAATTCTTATCCTCTTTCTTCTGACCATTATACTTCTATCATTAACTTGTCATTCCTCTTTACCCACTGTTTTGAATTTGAGATAGTAATGTGCCCCCAAATGAAAAGAGTTCTGAAGCATTTTATATTTTTTCTTTGTAATATCTCTGTCAAACATCTCCTGTCTTCATTTTCTTTTGTGGCTTATTATTATTGTGATGAACACTTTAATATTTTAAAACTCATCAGACAGAAATATTTAGGAGGAATCAGGAGAAATATTTAGGAGACGTGAGTTGCAGATGTCAAAAGGGTGCAGTTCCTTGACATAGCCCATGAGTCATGTACACCTGGCTGGGAGCAAAGCTGTCCATTATACTGAGGCTTTCAGAGAAGAGGATTCACTTAGAAGAACACAGGTAGAAGAGTTTCTTTTACGTTTTTGTCCCTTTGCCTCTTCGGGAGAAACATTTGTTGCATCCTGTGGAGCTTAAACAGGAGAATTGCACTCAATAATTGTAAATCTTAAATTTATTCTTATCTTGGGTACCTTTCTGATTCTGGAAGATAGCAGATCAGAATCAAGGGAATAACTTAAGAGCAGGAGTTCTCAGGATATTTTAAATTACAGTTGGTTGGGAATTTTTTGGGCTTCAGAGTCTTCTTTAGATAATTCAGTTTTTGGATTAAGAGATTGAGTGCTTTTCTTATTTTTCATTTGACTTCTGACCATTCTGTCCATGTTCCCACTCTACAAAAATGTGAATTTTAGTTTTGCTCTTAAGTAATTAGTGCAAATAATAAGCCAAACAGTTTGAAATGTCAGGTTTGGCTTATTTTGGAGTTTTTCTTCGCATATAAGTCCACCTATTTTGCTCTCTGCATACCTCTTACTATTCCAGCCCTTGTACCTACCCCCTTCCACCTCACTCTTCTCTCCCCAGAGGCTATTTAATAACCCTTAGCTCTCTATTGGCCAGTTCTTACTCCCTTCCCCACACACACCATCTCCCTTCATCTTAATATTATTTTAGTATTTGGTATTACTATATAATCACAAAATACTGGTCCCATTGTGCTTCGGCTTGTTCCTTTATTTCTCTCCTTTCATTTCTAAAATATCCTCTAGGAGCTGAGACCCAAATCTAAATATTTCCTGAATTCCAGACTCTGGTCAACTACTAGATAATAATTATGACTTCAAAGACAAATGATGCCGACCTGAACCTGACCTGACCATCATCATTGACCAGATCTTTTTCCTGTTCTGAGAAAGAGATCATTTTTGTGAATAGCCTCTGCTATGACACCTACTCGAAGTTTTGCACTTTCTTTGAATGTTCTCTATCTTTGCTCCACACATTGAATCATTGATTTATTAAGGACACATTTATTTGGTACCAACCATTATTATGTCAGATACAAAGATTAATAAAATGGTAATTTCACCATTGCAATGAATATCATATGTGTTCTTAAATTCTTTGTCATTATAAAACATGTCATTTTTTAATATGAGTTCTCATAAAAGGTACTAGTCTATAGATATCATTCTATTCCTCATATATTTTACTCAATCCTATGGCTTTAAGTCTGTGTCGATGCATGTAATATTATAATAGCTAACATAATATGCAAAATATTCTAATAGATTCCAGTAACTGTGCATTGTTTTATAATGTACATTTGCTTACTTTTGATTGGGAGAAAGTAGATTATTTCCAATACTACTTTGAGAAACAACATTAAACATGTCCTTTTTTATTACTACGTGAGAATTACTCTTGAACCATACCTAGGAGTGGGATTGATGGATGGAAATATACAAGTGTGCTTTATTTGCCTAAGTAGTTGCAGAATACTTCTACTCACCAGTAATTGGCCATGAGGGTCTTGTTTCCCCACAGAACTTCCTGTACGTAATATTATTTGGTTTTCTGATGTGATCTACCTCAAGTAGATATCTCATTTTTGTTTTAATTTGCCTTTTGTAATTACAAATAAGTTTGAATATTCTTTCATCTACTTCCTGGTGTTTGAGTTTCTTCTGTGAATAGCTTGTTTTTGTATTTTGGTAATTTTCTATATTTTTCTCGTTAATATGTGGAATTTTTTGTTAAATTCTAGGTATTTTCACTTCATTTGTGTTACATTTTGTCAGTGTCTTTTTCTAACCTGATATCTTTCTATTCAATACCTTTTCTCAATCATCTGTCCGTTAATTTTTAGGTTTTGTACCTTGTTAAATTGAAATCCTTATTTATAAGGTTACCTAATTCATCACATTTTCACTTTATGGTTTATGCATTTTTTAGTCATGTTTTAACTATATTTTTCTGTACCCCAAATCATAAAGATATTCCCTTACATGTTCTTCTTCCTAGAGTTATAATTTACTGTGCACCTTTAATATATCCCATTTAAAATTCACTAAACACAGTTCTACAGTATTATTAATCCATGTAGCACACCGGTTTTGTCTTTTCTCTGTTCTAAAGAATATGTCTTTTACATAGATGAGGAAATTGAAGATTGGAAATTTAACTTATTTGCCCCATAACATGCTGCGATTCTCATCTAGGTTTCTTACCTCGAAATTCTTAAGTCTTCCCTCTGTATTTGCTGTAGAACCTGCAGTCTCCTTGAACGGGGAGGCTATGCACTGTCCTAGTTTTGTGCCCAGCATCACCGAGAACAATGATGCCACATGCAATTGTTCATTACATATCTGTTGGAGTTGCAGTATTTTGCTATAACACTTTTTGTCTTTTTACCCTCTGTAGATTATCATAAAAGTTGTGCAATTGCTTTTCATCCATTCTGTGGCAAGGCTTGTTCCCAGAATGCTTCCATCTGATTAGATTTGCTCAGCATCTGAAGGCTGGACACAGTCCAGGGCTCACTGGTGGAGCTGACACCACCTTTTGACTTGGAGAGTGGTACTTTCATGGCTCTCATGGAACATGTCCAGTAACTAACAGGAACGTCAATGAAGGGTTCAAATCTGGGACACATTAAGGTAATTGTGGGACATGACAACTTTGGAGATGTGGATTTTCATCTCTATCTTGATGTTATATCATGGCCACATTCTAAATGACAAGCTTTCTGGTGATACATTTGCAAGCTTAAAGAGTGCTGCTGTCTCCTTATCCAACTGTGCATTGTTGGAGTGTGTAGTATGGAGGAAATTCAGTTCCAATCTTTGGTTTTCTGCCATGGATGACAGTATTTGGATGCCTCTCTGAGTTTTCCAGGTGTTGGCTGTGTCTGACCTAACTTTCTGCCAGCTCATAATGCAATGTGGCTCTGGTAGGGAAACTATCAGCCCATCTCTGAGCCTGTTTGCTCATGTATTTCAGTACAATGATCAGCATTTGTCTGGAAGATTGCCTTAGAGGTTTCAGTGCTGGTTGTCTATCTAATGGGAAAAACAAAGCTGTCCATGAGAGCAGAATCTAATTTTATGTGGATGCTTTGAGCTTTATATTAGTTGGGACAAGCGTAGCGAGAAAAAAATAAAACAAAAAATATCAGATCAAGTCCAAGTGACTTTGTGAGATAGAACTCAGCTCCAAAACTTGTGGCAATACTGATTTAACCTTAGCAGTCAAGGTACAACTAGGAATTGGGAGCTAAAATCATGCCAGTCTGGACTTTGTTTTGGGAAGGACCATAAAATAAATTGGAAGAGTCTTTACTCACTCTTTTATAGATAAATAAAACACTCTTATGAACACTGATTACAGTCTTGGTTCTGGGGATACAAAGATGCATTGGAGGTGACCACTGCCACCAAGATGTTAACAGTTTACCCAGATCCAGTAAGTTCATCATTGTGGGCACTATTAAGAGGAAGATGTAGCACCTAAAAGTTAAGGAAATCAAGTAGCTCACCAAATTTACTCACCTGTGCAACAACTACCAAATCTAAGAATTGGTGCCAGGCCTTCTCATTCTGCCATATTCTCTTTTCACAATGGTACAGTTACCAGGTGACCTAAACATAAAGAAGCTCAAGAAATAAGTAAAGAACTTCATTCACTAGGGGTGGAACTTTAAGAAAGGATACTGGAAACAAATGAAGGAGTTTTACTAGAAAATAAATACAAGCACAGCAAAAGGCCCATAGCAATGACCTTTATACCAAGTCAGGAAACCACTTTTATTGTCTTTTTTGTTATCATTTCCCCTTCCTGGAAAAAAATTGGTTTTGGAGTTGGGAGTGGGGCTGGTGATGAACAAAGTCAAGGGATTTTAAGGATGCTGAGCTACTAAGTTTAGAAAGCCAGGCATAAAAATCATGGTGCAAACTAGATCATTGTATCCTTTGTCTAGTTTGTTTTGAATAAGTCTATTTTTAAATGACTTACTCAAAATATTTGGATACAGATTTAATAGAATAAATACTGTTATCACATCAACATGCACTATTTCCGTTCAAGAACAAAAGCCATCATCAAACCTCAGAGTTGAAAATGATACTTTAAGTAACTAAACATTTGCAACCACAAGTCGAACAAAACACATTATGCTTCATATAGACCAACTATAATTATGAAAAATATAAGGTTTAACTCACAATTGCCATTGGTTTGAGATGGTTTTATTCTTCTGTACTTTTCTGGGATGTCCATAGGAGACATTTTAATCCAAAAATATGGCTTAGGTTAGTGGTAGAGAGCACAAGCTATGCAATTTACTACTTGGTTCAAATCGTTTCTTTATCAATTAATAATGTCCTTGAGCAAATTTTACTTCCCTTGTACCTCGGTTTCCTGAGGCATAATGACATGATTGTCTCATGGGGATATGGTAATGATTTAAATAAGTCTCTACAAACAAACCACACAGAATGATGCCTGGTAAAAAGTAAACTCATATTCCTCTTTGTAATACTTTTCCTACTTGCCAAATATTATAATAATAGAAATTGTTAAATCAGGTATTTCAAAACAGTTTTTCTAACATGTTCCAATAAGTTAGATATGGGCTTGCTTCAGCAGAATTTTCAGTGTCTACACATGCAAAATTTTCTTCTCCATATTCCAAGTGGGCCCAATAATTCAAAAGGAGCTACCATTATCTCCCCTCTACAGCCAAGCCTAAGAATCTCCAGGCCCTGGTACATTCTTTGTCAACCAATTCCACATTGACGAGGCATGCTCTGTGTACTGTGGGCGCTGAGGATGCCTTGTCAATGTGGAATTTGTTGACGAAGAATCATATGCGGAATCTATTTATACTTATATGAAAATGGATACTTGGCTCCAAGTATGCCCCCCAAATTAGTGGACTCAAATGATGTTATAATCAGAGGTAAGAGAGGAAGGACTCCACAGTTTTGCCTACTATGACTGCTTAGGCTAATCCACCTAGAAGCTAAATCAAAGACAGTCCATTGAAGAGGAGAATTCATTTCCAGGTGTTTAGGGTTGGGGTAATGTAGAGAGACATATGGGCTCTTCTGGTGAATGTTGGGCTGTTTTCATAGGATGGTGATAGAGAGATGGAGTGACCTGCAACTATTTTTGCATTCTCAGAGGTAAAGAAATAGATTCTGCATATGCAGATTAAAAAACTTCATGAAAGCATCAATAAATCACATTGTTTCTTCAACCTATATCAATTTAAGTACATTTTGTAATCAATTTTGTTAATTGATGCAGACACTTACAACTTACAACTTGTAGTTCTCAGCTTATTTAGATTTCCAGTTGAGTGCAAGAGGACATTGTGAAAGACAGCACACCTCCCTCCAGTGATCTTCAGGGTCCCCAGTGAATACAGATTGGTCAGCAGCACCATGTATAGTATTGGGTATTACTTTTTAGATTTCTAGAAAGCTTTATATTCTTTCACATTTTATTCATCATAATGCCATAGTATGTATTTCTTTTCCATAGATAAATACTTTTGAAATGTCTATATATGACAACCTTTTCAAGCCTATTTTGATTCTCTGTATCTCTTTCTTTGCAAAATTTCTACATATTGAAAAAATTGCATGTTTCTCCTCTGTTCATTAATTTACTTAATGAATATCTACTGAGAGAATACTATGAGTCAGTTGCTATAGTTGGAACTGGGGATACAACTTAAAATCTCATTCATATTTCAACTCCCTGAGTCTGAACTCTGATACTATTCTTACTATTTATAGTGCTTCAAACAATATTCAAATGTTAATAAACTGTTAGTCAGTAATTGTTGGCTGACTTAACCTGTGTGTGAGAAAAAAATCTCTTCTTTCGTTAGGTGCTATTGTGTTCTTCGGTAAAGTATACTGATTAACAGTAGTTTTAATTTGAGAAGCAATTTTGTACTTCCAAAAATAGCTAATTCTATCATATGTTCATTCGTGTTTTCCTTTCTTTCTCTTCTACCTCCAACCCCAGCAATTCTACATACATTCACACATATCTGGCCTGAGCTTATGTCCTTGGCCTAATAAATCAGTGGAATCAAATTTGTTATTGTAGACTGAATTAATAACTAATGCTCTCTCCTTTTGCCTTATTAGAACAGGAGAAAATACAAAGAGAGTAAAAGAAGTATATAATATTATTTTTAGATGTACCATGAGTTAATCTCAATATGTATTTAACACTATTTAAACTACTATATAAATTATATATATAGTAAATATATAAATTGCTCAGTTTTTTCTCCACTGTTAAGACTTTTTCATTCCTTCCCAATAAGATCCTATTTATTGAAAAACGTAACTCAAGGCAGAATTTACCAAACCATTTGAGGGTTTAAGTCTGTGGATGATTTTTTTCCTTGCATTTAGGAAGATAGAATTATTTAGGAAGAGCTTTCTAGGTCAAACATTACGAGCTTATTGAGGCTTTGAGGTTGTGACCTTCATTTGAACTCATGAAGAGTATCTGGTCATGTTTTTAACCTTTCAGTCTAAACAAGAAGTTAATTTGGGGGTGGAGTTCAGAGAAGATTATTTAGTTCTTTTTTAAGAATGTCTTTGTGAATCAACATTTCAGTGTTTCAGAGGTTCTTAATTAATCCCATTACGTAAAGATACAGGATAAGTTATTTTTACAGGGCTTTTAACTGGTTACTGATGTAATTTGTTATGCATTGTTTACCAGATGATCCTTAAATTACTCTGATATTTGACATTTTCTTTAAATAAAGGAAGACGCTTTGAACTTATACATTAAATACATTATTTTTAAGGAAAGAACTGCTAAATATGTTATTTTTATACTTGATTTGCTATTTTCAATTCCTATTTACTACATTTTTAAAAGAATTGAGAGCAAAATATATAGAGTATTCTGAATTAATTTGTGTTCTTGGTATCCTCTACCTTCTTGGAAAGATATTCATATATTTACAACAGGGTTTAAAATTTTACTACAGTCTTCAAAAATGTAAAGCCCAAGTCCTAGGATTCTATGAAATAGATCCTTTTTCATAGTATCTATTCCATATATGGAAATAATTTTTTTGGCATTCTTGCAAATGAGTTTTAGATAGTTAACTAAAATATTGAAAAAAATTAAAATGTAAGGTTAAGGATGATCATGCCGGACACTAGGAAGGGAAGAGCCTTGTCCCATTATCTGTACCATGATGTATAAACTGCTACTCTGTCTTTCACTTTCCTTCCAGTGGTGCCACAGTGCATCAGTCCACTTTTTGTTAGTAGAATACCTGAGGTGGCTCGCTTTGTTTTTTAAAGAGCTTTATTTAGCTCACACATGTGAAAGTGAAAGTTCAAGATCAGTCATTTCCTTGCGTTTGGCCTCTGGTGAGGGCGTAATGGCAGATGACATCATGGTGGGAGCAAGAGATCAGAAGCTAGAGGGTGATTTGGGGGTCAGGCTCCCTCTTACAGCAACTTCCTCTTGTAAGAGGTCAGGAGTCCCTTCCAAGACCTGACTTCCTCCTACTGGACCTCACCTCTTAAAGGTCGCAGCACCACTCAACTTCACCATGCTGAGGTCCACACCTGCTGTACCTAAACCCTTGGGGACA